CAGACATTGGGTCATCACAGCGCAATATCTGACTGCTCCTTTAATCGAAGTTCGGGCACGTTCACCTGTCGATACGGCGCTGACCTTACGAATATCGTGGCATCCACGTGATCGAAGATAGCAAACCGTTTTCCACTATTGAGGAGAGTCCTTGTCGATGATAAAACTGATTACCTCGTCATCTCGTTTCATATCGTGCGATGAAGAGGAAACGGCAAGTGACGGGGAGGAGGAAGAAAAGTCAGGGAGATCGCGTTGTTGCATGCACAGCCCTGATCTTTGGAGCGAGGAGACCCGTCGTTGCGTTGGTGTTGTCGACTTTTGCGCAAGTGCGTAGATATCATAATGGAGGAGACCGCGAAGTATCGCCAGTCAGCATCTGCCACGCGAGTGATATATGATTTTCAAATGATACGATACAAAAACGCGGTACGTAAACAGGCGGTAAATTGAGCAATATCTCCGTTAAAATTGCCTGAGATAGCTATTCTCGTATCGATCGCCAAAGTTGATGATTATAAAAATCCCAGACTGCCTGTGTAGGCCAGCTGAGAATAGCATGTGAATATAATCTCTTAGAGATTATAATATCGGATATTTTTGTCTTTGCCATGATTAAAAAGATGCTATGGTGTACAGCCTTGGCCAAAAATATTATTAGCATTTTATTAACCATGAGCTTTGAAATACCCTTGTCGAGAATAACTATTTTTATGTCATCATCGATCTTTATTTTACACAATTAAGATTGGTATAACATTTCGCGGAAAAAACTAATCTTTTTATCGGTCTTTCCAGCAGAAAAAGCAGCTTTGCAATGATTCTTTAATATGATTTATTATACATTTAGATGAAGCAAGGAATTAAGGGCAAGAAGAAGCGCAGCCATTTTTATAATTTTCGTAATTAATTGGAAATAATACAATAGGTGAAAGAATATTAGATTAATGGAAAAATATAGGTGCCTAATATTTTTTATCAAAGTTGTGATAGCTGGAGTTTGCATTAATTAAACTGCAACTTCTAATTTGCTTCACGCAAGCAATTCATTAAATTTTGTGAATTTTGAAATTCTCTGAGAATAACTACTATTTTTATATCACCACCGATCTTTATTTTACACAATTAAGAGTGGTATAACGTTTCGCGGAAAACTGATCTTTTTGTCGGTCTTTCCAGCAGAAATACTGATCTTCATATCCGACCTTGTCGCTCGTTATTGTCGAGACGTTAATTGTTGCCGCTAATTCTCTATAATTCCTCACATTGTGAACAAGAACAATGACCGCTTAGCAATCCTTGTTCCTTAATTAAACGATATCATTGAGCTAAAATACGTATATATAATATCCTACATATTTCTAGAAAATAAAATCCAATTATACGCGAGCAACAGTAATTATTTATAATTGAAGAATTGAAAATAGAAAAGAAAAATCTCGAGAAACATATATTGATATTTCATAAAGCAGTATACTTGTTTTATTTTTGACATCATTGAAATGACAAACGAGGTTGAGGATAATGTAATAATGTGACGTGGAATCAAATTTGATTTCTTTTTATTAATTGAAAGAAAAAAAAGTCTGCTGCGCAACAAAGTCGTATAAAAAAATAATAATATGCGACGCGCCAGAGTTGCACGCTTCGAGGAGCTTCCTCAAGGACAACTGCGCGACATTTGCATATCTTGAATCGACGACTCTGAACGGTTATACGAATGGGAATGTATAATTCGAGGAGGGGTACTAATTAAGGAGCAACATCGACTTAGCAATCGGAAGCGAATTTCATGAGAGATGCACGAAGATCTACTTTCGTCTACTCGACTTTCCCATGAAACGATTGCTAACGATCAAATTTGCTGCGATTATAATCGAGTCTCTTCACGAATTCCTAATATTTAGTACAGGAAACTGATGTGGCCTTCATTATGTATAAAACACAGAAACTCGCGATTTCCTTCATGGCAAGCGCCAAGTAAATGTTTACGCTCGCTCGCACATCCTTCATTTTCAAACGTTTGTAGAACTCGACACAATCATGACCTTGATGATTCGTTGAATACTTGGAACAAGGAGAAAATGCTTTTGAAGTTTGAATATAAAAGCTGACTTACGTGAACGTTACAAATGCTTTGAAGTATTTTTAATGATCAAAATTAGTAAAATTCTTTTTTCTGATTGATAAATTAAATGCTTTGAAATATTTATAATGAATGTTTGACTTCAGACTTATTGTTTCCATCTTTCAATAAATCTCATTTTTGCTCTCGTTCTCTCTTTCTATTTAGCTACTTATGTATTTTTGTTCCTTAATTCCTATTTTTACTTATTTCTTAATTCTTAGATGGCTTTCTTAAAATAGTAATGAACACCTTCACTTATTTATGTATCTCTCTCTCTCTCTCTCTCTCGCTCTCTCTCTCTCTCTGTTTTATTTATTAATTAAATTACCACATAATTTATTCGAAGATGGGACTATCAACTAAACTAATATTCATAGTCGGTTCTTATTTTAAGACCGTCTTAAATAATGTCTTAAGATACTAATGCGAACTGTGACTTTAAGACTGTATTGAAGATGATCTTAAATAAGATAAGAACCGACTATGAATATCGGTCTTATAATGTTGTTCAATATGAAACAGGATTCTAATATTAGTATAAACTCAGGCGTTTTTGATTGATAAATGAAATAAGTTAACTTACAATATCAAAGTAGTAGCAGTGACAACCCCTCAGTCTCTATAAGTCCTGTTTAATTCTCATGTTTAATTCTCGAACACAACGCACTCGTTCTAGCGCAATCACGGATTTCGATGATGCGGCAAGCAAGAGTGCATTTGTAAACATCGGGGATCAATGGCGTGTCATCGACATTTATCAGCAGGGGATGTTGGCGGGAGTGTGCGAGGAAGGAGAGAAAGACATTTACAAGTGATAAAATTACGCGTATGAGTCATCGTGCGAGTGGATCATCGCAGCCTGCTACTATTTCAGGCGGTCTCGAATAAATTCGACTGTACTCCTCCGGACGAAGAAAAGGAGGGATATTCTCCTTTCGCGAGCGATCGCGTCGTTTCGCGTCCACGCGATTATCGTTGCCATCACTGCCGGTCACGTGTGGTGTGCTACCTCCTCTTTCTGTCCGATCATTCATAAAACCATCACGTAATTTTCCTCGTCATCGATTACTTTCGTTCGTCTAGTTCAGTGCCGGTTCATACCTTGAGACAAGAGCCATCGATGCCACTTATGTTTGTTTCTACCAATGTAAGTTAACTTTAATTTGATTCAACTTACTCTTCACTTTTCTTGTTCTAAGAATTAGCAAAAGATAAGTAGTAAGTTGAACTATCAAGAAAATCCATGGAAGTGCGTCCTTCCGATTTTGATGAGAAAGAGGTATTGCACTTCCTAAAAGTGTGATTGAGCCCATATAAAAAAATACATATCTCATATTTTTGTCTAGAAAACAATGTATTCAATGTTCATTGAAATCGGAAGGGAATACTTTCATGGGTTTTTTTATGAAATAACTTAGTAGCCATGATTGGGCCATTCGTGTTCTGTTAATTTCTTTTTAAAAATACTAGAAGCACCTGGCTAAATAATCTCTATCCTTTCCTTTTTTAAATACATAATCTTACAAATATTTTCCAAAGATGTTAAAATATGTGTAAGAATCGCTTAACAATTTTTATATAACACTCATAAAAATGAGGAAAATTAATTCAAATATATAGGCATCAGTGTTTTGAGGAGTTGCAAAATTTTCTTATAAAGATATTAAGGATAATTTAAGTTTCACTTTCCTGGCGACTGATGCTATAGCGTAATGTTTGCATAAAACAAAATGAGCGATTGCATAGCGACGTTGACTTTCTCTCACAACTTTCAGATAAATTTGCATTTGCTTTCTAAGTTTATAGACAACAATCGATGCATCGACGATCAACATTTGTATCCATTCTTATACTTAATCTACATAAAAAAAAATAATCGAAGATTGAGATTAAAGATTAAAGATTGAAATTTCACCATGAGGAAGTTTTAACTTCTTTTGTTCTGATTGGTCAAACTTCAACCTTTCAATCTTCAATCTCATTCTTCAATGCGTAATCTGATTCCAGCCTTAGTAATGCGATGGAACGAAACGATCGACGTTCATACGCAAACACACGGCCGGAAATTGATTTGGGGCAATCGCTGCCGTCCCTGTACCTCGACGAATACCCCTGACCTTACGAACTTCCCCCTCTTGACTGTGTAACCATAGGAATTGCGCATAAGGCGCGGGAATGTCGAAATGTCACATTTTGAAATTGTCCGTGAATCATATTACGAACTCTCCTCCCCACCTGTGAACGGAACTATTGTCGTCATGTCGTCGGTGTCACATCAGATCTTGCGAGTATACGTGTAAACGCCGTGTAGGCGTAATTGTCGTGTGGGTGCG